GGATTTTTTTTTTTTTTTTTTGCAATTAAGCCTTATTACAATATTAAAAAAAAAAAACTCTCTTTGTCTCTCTTCTCTTGTTCTCAAATGGGATTGCCAAGTTAGAAGTAAAAAAAATTCTGGCCAACAATCACCAAAATCGCCTAACCTTCATATAAATGATTCATGCTGTAGTACCTTTTTATTGAATGGCTGTAGTACTTTTCTATTGAAGAATTATGCTGGGTGTATATTTCAATAACAATCATGCTACATAGTCCAACTTAATGACGGAATATTTTTTCAGATAACACATGACAATTTTTCATTGGAAATTGGAAAAAAAACAATACAAAAACACTCAATTAAGTCGGCCTGTATTTTTTTCCCTATTTGAGTAGCATTTTTCTTTCAATAATTCTTTATTGAAATGTTCTCTAGACAATCTCGACATACATGATTCATTATTTATTAAAAAATCTTTAAGGATTACTTTCACAAGAATGATCGTTGTCAATACCAAAAATGTCATATATATTATATTGCACCAGGAGTAGGAAACCTTTCAAAAAAGTGCCATGTGATCCCCCAAGCTTCTTTTGCGACCAAGTCACATCACTAAGCAAAAAGGCAAAATAGATAAATAGCATTATACAAATGGCTCAGCAAGTAGATTGCGTCGTACGTTCGAAATTCCTTTTTCTTTCTAACGCTCACATCAAGCTTAAGATAAATTTAAGCCATTTTCAAAGAGAGAAAGATACGTTAAGATCTGCACTACAATACATGTCACAAAAGTCCAATGAGAAAGTGCTTAATAATTCATTTTTATGGCATAAACAAATTAATACATCTAACTACACCCAAATTTGGTAGAGATTTACATGCTTGAATTCATTATATATTACATAGGAATATGACTAAGCTGTAGGCTGTATGGCCTCCAAATGGCAGCAGTTCAAGATTTCAAACTTCACTCTCCTAACAGCCAATATTAGGAAACAGTACAAACAGAAACAGTCAAGAGTCCAACACATTTGTTTAACATAGAAGAATGCAGAAAAAAATGAATGAAAACCTGTTGAATGAAGTGAAAAGACATGGATGGAGTTGTACCTTCTCTAATGGCATCCTCAGGTCTTCTCCCTGCTGGCACGTTGCTGGAATCTTTGATCCACCTAACTAATGAAGTTACTTCGGGGGAAAGGATTCCTTTTGTACAAACGAAAAACATTTCAACAGTTATGAGAAGGATCAAATTACTTTTTTCGTTGTTTGAAGATGTACAAGAGACGGATAAACCGCTTCCACCGTCTTCAATCTTGTGCCTGGCAGAGCTTTTCTCGGTTATTCGCAGAGTTAAGATCTTGATTGAGAGTTGCAGAGAAGGTAGCCAGTTATGGAATCTTGTGCAGACGGAATTTATCTCCAATCAATTTTACGCGGTAGTGAAAGAAATGGGAGGAGCTCTTGATATTTTGCCTCTGAGCTTGCTGAATTTGACTGCAGATACCAGAGAGCAAGTTGAACTTCTTCACAAGCAAGCAAAAAGAGTTCAATTATTCGTCAACCCCGGTGATATTCAACGAAGGGACGAGCTTTTTCATTTGATGGCCGCTAACAGTGACAAGAATAGAAAGAACAAAGGCTTCATTGATTTCAGAAGAATAAAAGACATTCTGAGCAGCATTGGTCTGAAAAGCCCACTGGATTACGAAGAAGAGATTTCAAAACTGGAGGCAGAAGCTGAGAAGCAAGCTGGCACAGGTGGTCTGATTGTGCTTTCCAATATTCATAATCTCATATCCTTAATTTCACTATCAAAAACTACAATTTTCAGTGAGGATGAACACCTAAAAACTCAAGAGGACCTGAAGAAGCGCAAAATGCCAACGAACAACATTCGTCAGGATCAATCATTTTCACAGTCCATGGTGTTCAACATACCTGATGAATTCCGATGCCCAATTTCACTTGACTTGATGAAAGACCCCGTCATTGTAGCATCAGGGCATACTTATGATCGGAATTCCATAGCCCAGTGGATCAATTCAGGGCATCATACCTGTCCCAAAAGTGGGCAAAGGCTAATTCATATGGCTCTCATTCCAAACTATGCATTGAAAAGCTTAATTCATCAATGGTGCCAGGAGAACAACATTCCAATGCTGGAATCTACGTCTGCCTCAGAGCAGGAAAGAACCACCAGTAAGAGAAGATCATGTGAAAATGCCATCGACCATCTTTCTGCCACTAAAGCTGCTGTAGATGCTGTCAAAATGACGGCAGAATTTTTAGTCGGCAAACTGGCTACCGGATCACCAGATATCCAAAGGCAAGCAGCATATGAGCTCCGGTTACTAGCAAAAACTGGTATGGATAATCGCAGGATCATTGCTGAGGCAGGAGCAATTCCATTTCTTGTGATGTTGCTTGATGCTACTGACCCCAGAATCCAGGAAAATGCAGTCACTGCCTTGCTCAACCTTTCCATATATGACAACAACAAGATTTTAATTATGGCAGCTGGTGCAATTGAAAACATAATAAATGTCTTACAATCAGGAAAGACGATGGAGGCAAAAGAAAATGCTGCAGCAGCAATTTATAGCCTGTCTATAATAGATGACTACAAGATAATTATTGGTGCCCATCCTAAAGCTATTCCAGCTTTGGTTGGGCTTCTAGGAGAAGGTACGACATCTGGTAAAAGGGATGCTGCAACAGCACTTCTTAACCTTGCGGTTTATAATGTTAATAGGGCAATGACAGTTCATTCAGGAGCAGTTCCCTTGCTTATTAACCTATTGACAGACGATAAGGCTGGTATCACTGATGATGCCCTTGC